GGGGGGGGCGCCGACCCAGGGTCCGAAACCACCACCACGATACGACGCGAGACTCCCGGCCCGACGGGCTGAGCGGCCGTGGCTGACCTTGCCGGAGGTGCCGTCGCCCAAAACCACGAACTTGAGCTGTCGGTCGGGGCACTCCTCCTCAGAGTCCGACATCGCCCGGCGGCCAGCGGGAGCCCCGCGCTCATTCGCTCCTCCTCCTCCTCACGGTGATAACAGAAGCAGAGCCGCCGCCGCCGCCGCCGCCATCTTGCTTTCCCCCCCCCCCTTCCCCGGCCGCTCGTCGCTATGGTCGCCGCTGGGCGAGACCACGAGGCCGAACGCGGGGGGGGGGACGGACAGAACAGAAAAGGAAGGCGACGAGGCCGACCGGAGGTGGCGTTACCGAGCGGGCCGGAGCCGGCGAGGGACTGAAATAGCGCGGCGCGGGAATAGCTGGAACGAGACTCGGCTGCCTCCCACCGAGATGCCGATCGCGAGCCCGGCGGCTCCCCTTTTGCCAATTAATGGTTTTGCCCGAAGCAGCCGCCGTCAAGGATCGGGCTGCTAGTGACGCCCTGCGTGGTAACTAAGGCCCCGGGAAGGCGAGAGCGGCCGAGGGGAACGCCCCCTCTAGCCCGGCACGTGCAGGTCGGTCTCCCGGTCCAAAGCAGGAGAGCAACGCTGGAGGCCCGTTTGAGGCACCTTTCGGACCACCAGCGAGGTTTTATTCCGGGTTTAAGACTCTTGAGAGTCTCCTGGAATGCAAGGAGATCGAATCAGTCAATCCTAGAAGAAACCAACCCTGGCTGTTCCCTGGAAGGCCAGGGACTGAAGCTGAAGCTCAGATACTTTGGCCATCAAATGAGAAGGGAGCACTGCTGGAGAAGACCCTGATGCTGGGAAAGACTGAAGGTCAAAGAAGAAGGGGACTGCAAAGGATGAGATGGTTAGACAGTGTCACCTATGCAACCAACATGAAATTGAGCAAACTTCAGGGGACAGTGGGAGACAGGAGGGCCTGGCATGATGGGGTCACAAAGAGTCGTGACTGAACAACAAGAACAAAATAGGTTTTCATGTGCAAAGGACACTTCTTCAGATACAGTGAAACAGAACTTCCTCAACCCTTGCATATAGGAATGGGGGGTGGGGTTAGTTGCCCGGAAGTGGTAATTAGAATCAAGATGCATAAGTATTGGGGCGATTATAGCTGAGATTGGATCAAGGCAGTTGTTAAGATCTGTGAATGGCAGTAAATCAACATAGGCTGCGGTCACACGGCCAGGAAAATGCGGGGGGGGGGGGGCTGTTCGTCCCGGAGCAAAGAAACGCGCGGTTGCGCGATCAGACGCTCCGGCGAGGTTCCATCGAGTTACCATGGTCGGGGGGAGATGCCAATCACACGACGAGCCTGCAGTGTGGCACGGAAGCGGCGCCGCGCGATCACACCAGCAATCGTCAGGCGCCGCTTCCGTGGCAAGCGGAACGAGATTTTTTTTTTTAATGAAGGTCGCGCATGCACAAGATCGAGGAGCCGGGTGCGCGCGGCCCCGTCCATGCGCACAAACGGAAACTGACAGTCTGTCACGGAAATGCGGAAGCCGGGAGCTGGGTGGAACGGAGAGGGCAACAGACGCCACCAGACCCCAAGAAAGTTCCGACGGACAGGCAATGGAGGGGGAGGGGGGATCCCACAGCACAGCCACCCTAACCACCTGTGCGACAGTGGCCATAGCGGCCCTCCAGATCCAGCAAGCTTGCCTACAGGGGAAGGGGGACATGGGTGCAGGCAGGAGACGGAGGACGGCCATGGCCACCACACAGCTAGGTAGCAGTCAACGTTGCAGCAGGCGGCGGAAGAGCCACAGAGGAAGACAGACGCTCCAGCTCATCCGTCTCTCTGCGGAGTGTCCCAGCCGCCGCTGGTGGGTGTACCCACGAGCCAAGGAATGGTGGGCAACCTTCGTCACCCAAGTCTGGGGAGATGAGCAATGGCTTGAGCAATTCAGGATGTCCAGGTAACATGCGGAGGGCGTATGTCGGGGTTAGGCGGCCGCCCATGGCATGCAGGCCACAAGCTACACTGTGACACTATCGCCAGTACGGAGGGATAGGGTTGCTGCCGTGACATGGGCATGACAACCGGTCCCGTGACAGCCGGACCCGGATAAAGGCAGTACCATGTCACCATCCAATCGCAGGTCAACATTCATGTGGCTGGTGGATGCCCTCCGGGACACACTGCAGCGACAGCGTACAAAGATGCGTGAACCCGTGTCAGTGGAGGAACGTGTCGCGGTCGGTGTATGGTGGATGGGCAACATCATGTCCTACAGAACCATTGAACAGCAGTTTGGTCTCGCACGGTCCACCGTGGCTGGCATCATGATGGAGGTGACACGGGCAATCTCAGAGCAGCTCCACCGCAGACTGGTGTACCTACGGAACCCAGATAGGGTGCGGACAGGAGGGGATGGGGAGGGGGACAGGGAGATAGGCAGCTCCGTGGGCAGGGGCAGGCGGCAGGGAGATAGAGGGCCAGCACCACGGGAGGTGGCATCCCTTGCACTAGCCCCCCCGGGTCCAAAGTGGGTGCGATAGCAGTCACTCTCTGTGTGTCCATCATAGGTAATGAGGTCCTTTGCCGCCAAGGGCTTCCCGCAGTGCGTTGCTGCGATGGACGGTTGCCACATCCGTGTGCGAGTACCTGTCCACCTGGCCCGCCTCTACGTGAACCGCAAGAACTACACCTCAGTACTCCTGCAGGGCACCGTGGACAATGTGGGTTGTTTCGTGGACATCGTGGTCGGCCAAAGTGGCCAAAGTCATGATGCACACGTTCTTCTGCGGTCGAACATCATGGCCAGAATGGAAGCGGGAGTCTACGTGCCCGGTAACCCCACCCGCACAATCGAGGGGGTCCCGGTGCCGCCACTCATAGTGGCTGATGCAGCATACCCCCTGCGACGCTGGCTCATCCCTCCCTACAAAGGCCACTTCAGTGCACAGCAGGCGCACTTCAACAAGGTGCACGGCAGGGTGCGGAATGTGGTTGAGCGTGCCTTTGGCCACCTGAAGGCACGGTGGCGGTGCCTGCTACTGGAGGTGCCAGTGGAGCTGAGGAATGTCATTCCAGTCGTAGCAGCCTGTTGCATCCTGCACAATTTGTGCGAGGACCGTGGCCATGCAGTGCCAGAAGTGTTCACCGAGGAGGAACGAAGGGCACTTGCGGACACAGAGGCGGCCCCCCTCGACCCGGACCCACATACGGCAGATGCCGCAGGCGAGCTGGTGCGCGAGGCCTTGAACACATGGCTGTGGAGGTGAGCCAGGAGACCCTAGCGGGATGAAGGCCCCCCAACCAATGGCCAATGGCACCCGCTGGCAGCGACCAGACATTGGGCCCCGTGGCACAGCAGGGGCGCAGGACAACGGAACATGAGGGAGGGCCCACAACACACCAGTGACAGGCAGCTCACGCTGTCCCCTTTACCGTGTCCAGGGCCTCTAATCGTGCCATCCCCCTCACTCACTCGCCCCTTCAGCCCTGAGAGCGAACGTCTCCGCGGCGTCCCTGCAGTGACGTCCTACCGGGAGCTGAGCGACCCGTCCAGCCCACCTCCTCCGGCCGTAGTCGCTTACGGAGGGTTTCGGAGTAGCGCTCCAACGCGCATGCGCAAGTGTCGCCTTGCGCTCCTGCAAAAGGCAACATAACGCAGAACGGGGCATGCGCAGTCAGCGGAGGCCCCCAACCAGTATTCAGAGCCATGGCTTTCCCAACGAGGGGTGTGCTATGGCTCCCTGAGGAGGTGGAGTGCCTCCTCAGGGCACTCTACGACCTAGAGGCGGGCCCGGCCACCATGCCCTCGACCCACCTCGAGACCCTCGATGTGTTCACCGAGGTGGCTGAGAGGCTCGCCGCCCAGGGCTACAGAAGGACAGCAAGCCAGGCCCGGTCTAAATTTAAAAAGGAGAAGGCAGCCTTTTTTGAGGCGCTGGAAGACTGGGAGGGCATCTCTCCAAGGGGGGGAGCGCCCTCCCAGATTCCACCTTCTACGTGCCCTGTGGCAGCAGAGCGACCGGCACGGATGTCGCCATAGGACCCCCTACAGTGAGTATCCCCCCCCGCCCTGTTCCCATGGCCAGGGCATGTGCCACCATCTGCTATGTGCTCTCACCCACAGGGCGTCCACGCACGAGGAGGGTCAGGGCGGCCTCCCCTGCTGCCAAGGTGTCAGCAGCTGCCGCGGCCGTGCCAGGCCGCCACCCAAGGGAGCAAGGTAAGTTGTGGAGGGTCGCCTGCTCAGTGGCAAGTGGCACTGCAGGGCAGCCAAAGCTGGCCACCTGCCAAACAGCACCTGGTGCGATGGCCCCAGGACCTCCCTGGTGGCCTGGGATGGTGGCGCCCCCGGCAGCTCAGCCCACATGGGAGTATGGGCCAGAGGGCCACAGGAGACGAGAGACCCGTGCCACCAAGCGAGTGACATGCGTGGGCCATGTCGCACAGCTGCCTCATGCGAGATCACTTCCTGTCCCCGTAAATCCTGAGCTCCCCACTGGATTCCCCGCTCCATGGTGGAGAGCCTGATGCAGGTCAGCGGGGGCCGTTGGGCGGGGCGACATATGCAGGAGGTCTGAGCGGTCAGGACATGGAGTGCGGTGGGGCCAGGGGAGCAACCCTGGAAGGCCGTGTTGGGAGTGGCCATGGCCACTGTGCGCCTGTTGGGGCCACGGCCCCTGGGGAGTGTGGCCTGCCGATGTGGCAGGTGCTCGGCCAGGGTGCGCTGCTGCCACCAGGGGGCCCATCGGGCCCATCCACACCCGTCGCCCATGTCCACACGGATGGACACGGGATCCATGAGTATTGGAAGCCGCACTGGTGGTCCCCTGGGATCTCCCCCTCAGCGGGCCGCAGTGGCACTGGGGCCTCCCAAGGTCCGGCGTCCCGCGTGACAGCTGTGGTCTTTCCAGCAGGTGCCCAGGCGGAGGAGGAGGCAGCAGTGGCCACGGCCGGGTCCGCCGTGGTCATCAGTTCGGCCCCTGAATGCGATCCAGGTACGTTAACCCCCCTGTAGACCTGGTGGAGGCTGCATTGTGGGTGCATGGGTGTGTGTTCCCTGCAGGGCCCTTGGCGCCCACGGCAGAGGGTTGGAGCATGACTGGGTGTTCTGTCCCTGCAGGGGCGGGGCCGTCCCATTGGCCCTCGTCACCAGCACGTGGGGGAGATCTGGCCCGAAGGCTCACCAATGTGGAGGCGGCACAGCAG